AGGCAAGGAAAATAATTTGACTAATTTGCTATACTTAAAATATCAGATTTTCAACAGTGATTTGAAATGTGCCTTCAGTCAATCAACACCTTTAGTGTCTGTTATTTTATCTATTTACTAGTCTGCAAATATATGTATGTTTTTCTGGCAATTAATCCATGTGGACTGAGGCAGAGGTGGGAATTTCTCCAGCTGCCTCCCTCCCTTTCAAGTTTTACACTCTCCACAGAGAGCAACATTAATGGACAACACAGAGTTTCTGCAATCCTTGTTTAGTTTAGAAACTCTGAAGTAGGCCTATGCATCTCCTATAAGCTCTTTCATATCCTTCAAACTGTGGGGTGTGGTTTCTTAACTGGGTCAACCCACCATGCAACAGGTTATTCAAAATTAATACAATTTCAGATTGATATATGGAGGCACAGTTATCTACGAAATTGAACAGCAAAACCAGAATTTAATCCATTCTTCCTAAACTTTCACTAAATAGCAAGAATCAAACAAAAATTATACAACTCACAACTACAGCTGGTCTCTTAAACAAGTTAAATACCTTTTTTCTTTTTTATGAATAGATGTAGGAAGGCAATAATTTTCACATCCTACAAAAATATCCATAATTTCAAAGCACTTCCTGTTCTGTCCTGTATGCAAAGAACCAAAATTCTTTTGAATGTGTGTAAAAAATAAAGTTCTCTTCCCACCAGGTAGTAGTTATCAATATGGTTGTCATACAGGAGGAACAGAGTGTTCAGATTCCTGTTCTCATATGAGGGAATTCTCAAGTCTCTTGGCAAGAATCTTAGTTCCTGGATATTATTATCTACTGATGCATGGGTGCACTTCTCTCTCCCTCTCTCCCCCCTCCCCCTTTTCTTTCTCTTTCTCTCTTTCCTTCCCCCTTTTTTTCCTTTTTTTTTTTCTTTTTTTTTTCCTTCTTTCCCACTTAAGAGTCAAGAACCTTATCCCAGACAAAGTTAACAAAACCTGGTATATTCTTCTCAAAAAAAATGGGGTTTAACAGGTCGGATTTTTCCAAAGAAAAGCTGTTGGATCATAAATCAAGTTTACAGCCCATCTTATGTTTAATTTCTGAACCATCACTGATGAATGGTTTGAAAAGAAATGTCAAACTTGTTTTTTATTAGAAACAAAATAAAGTAACAAAAAAATCATAAGTGATTTTGAAGCTGTATTAAAAATTAATATTTTACTTCAGAGATACCATTCAGCTGCAGACATATTGATCCTGCTCAAAAAGAAAGTGCCTAAATTCACATTCCGTGTCTATCAGATTGGATGTACATTTAAAACATATTGAACAATTCATCTTGCGGTGATGAAACTGAGAGCCACCACAATCAGTCACTCAACTGGAAACTAGCCAGAAGATAATATTTTTGCATCAGCCACCTACTTCCATACTCCTCTTTCTAAGCTACCACTTTAGCTTTAGATGTTTATGGTCACATGTTACATACATTTGCTCTATGCAGAATTCTGTTATTTGAAGAGACCAGCCACCTGTTAGGATTTAACACAGCTAATGAAGAAAAGCTTGATCCAAACTGTACATCAAAATATCATTAATCTGGACATAAAAAAATGGAACTGCCTCAAAACACACAAGCTTTATAATAGAAAAGTAATAATTCCAAAGATCTATGTTTATGTCTGTTTTACAAAGTGCTCTCAGATTATTCCTTGCAAACTGTAATGATTAAAAATAATCCTAGTTTCTTAGAGGCAGACAAGTTTGTGTGGAGTTGTCTGCAACTCAGAAAGGCAGTTTATTGGCTGGACACTTCCTGCAAGGACAAAAATTCACAGGAATTGCTGCCTTACCTGGCCAGGCTGAGTTATCTATATTTTAGAACATTTCTTGTTCAACTTTTTTCTTGAAGAA